TGGATACAAGAGCTCAAAACATAAAGGGCTAGAAGACTGGCGAAAGGAAATCAAGTGTGATCAGATCCACAGTAGAGAGTGCTCATCTCCCTCCTCTCTCTCACGTATACATGCACATGCTTGATCATAAAGAAAAAATTACCAAAAAAAGGAAGACACGAGGAAGTATAAATAATATGCCATATTTTTTATGTAGAAAAGGGAAGAAATAAGATTTATATTCATAATCACTTATATTCACAGAAACAAACCCTGGAAAGATGCACAGAAAGCCTTAAGGTGGTTATAAATAGGAAATGGGCTGGAGGATAGGAATGGGATGGAGCAAGAATTTCAAAAACTTCCTTCCTTCTGCCCTTCCTCCCTCCCTCCCTCCTTCCCTGCTCTCCTTTCCTTAGGCCCCTTTGACAGAGTATCACCATGGCTTGATCCTTCTGTAGGTCTTCCAGTCAGCAAGGATCATGCCTGTGCATGAGCATGCCTTGTGCGTTTGGGCTCCAAACCCATGCCTCCCATGTGGTTCCAGTATTATTCAGCGGCACCCTTCTACCTTTACCACCATGATGTCTGGGACTCAGCTGCTATGGCTTTTAAAAAATTTGGAACCAGCAGATGGTGTAATGGTTACATCGTTGGACTCCCATGTAATCAACTGTGGTTCGAGTCCTGGACCTGGTGGCTTAAATCTCATATGAGCACGTGTACATGTTTGTCCAAGATCCGGAGAGGATAATAGAGGAGAAGCTATTGCAGCATGGTCATCCCCTGGGGAGGTAATTCTTTGCTTTCTGTCTCTGTCTCTCTGGCAAGCACATGCACCCTATAGCAAAAATCTCTTTCAAAAAAGAAAATAATTGTTTATGTTAGAGTATGTACATACCCAAGAGAGAAAGAAGCATTCTCCACAGGGTCTGGTCACACTAGAATCTTCTTCCTCCAGTCATCTAGCTCATCAGATTCTGGGTACTTGTGCATGCAACTGGCATGTTTCAGGTCCATGAGGATAAGGATCCAAAATAGTCACCACATGGGATCCAGTTTCTTTTGAGCAATGAATTATTGCTGCACCATAGAGCCAGCCCTACTATGACTTTTGAACCATCTAAATATATTTATTTTTTAAATTATTTTATTTAACTTTATTTATTCATTCATTCATTTATTTCAATTTGACCAGAGAGGGATAGAGTGAGTGAGTGAATGAGTGTGAGTGTGTGTGTGTGTGTGTGTGTGAGAGAGAGAGAGAGAGAGAGAAAGCAAGCTGCCAGGTCTGGGACTTGAACCACAGTCGGCCATGTGGGAGTCCAGCACCCTTAACCACCAAGCCACCTTCCGGCCCCAAATATATTTAAATTTTTAAAAAGAGATTCATAATTGCTCCAAAGTTCCTATTGTTCACTTTATATTCAAAACCTTTTGTTTGGAATGGCCTTTCTATCACCAACCTTGTTACTCTTCTTTGCTTAAATTAACTCACTTTCCAGTGGTTTAGATTCAAGCAGTTTTCTAACATCACATTCACCATCTTCATGAAATTCTGCATCTTTTGCAACATTTTTACAATTTCAGTTTGAAATCTGTTTGCATTGTATTGTGAGATATTTTAAATGTCTGGCATTACTGCAGTGAAAATGCTAGTATAAAAGCATGTCAAGTCAGCGGGCCACATGGTGGCTAAGGCAGCTGGATCCTGCATGGCTGATAGCACGGCCTGAAAGACACATCAGGTGTGTGTGTGTGTGTACACACAGGCATGAGTGAGCACACATGTGTGACAAAATCCTGAAAGGAGAAAGAAATGGAAGAGAAGGGACTGTGGTATCACCACTCCTCATGGGGAAGGAGCACCGTACTCTCTCATTCCCCCCATTTCTCACATTCCCCTCTCTCCATCTCTCTTTGGTAAGTTCATGTGCCCTCTGGTAAATTTTTTTAAAAAAATGATAAATCATGTCTTCCAGAGGGCATTCATTCTGTAAGTGGTCAGTTAAGTAGTGAGCATTTTTATTTTATATTCATAAAGTTATAGAGAACTTAATTACCTTATATTACCATGGACATTCAGATGATAGAAAATAACTGTGTAAAACTTTTAAGTACCTTTAGATTTATTTTAATATTTATTATTCTGTCTATTCTTGCAAAAGTCCTTTATTGTATCTTTAATCTAGTAGTAATGTTGTAGGCTAATATTTTTCATCGTTATATCTCCATCATAAATTATATATAAAATATTTCCTGGCTCATATCATTATTTTTTCTAGTCAGATTTTCTATGGTACACATTACATTTGGTAAAATTCCTTTTTTAGGAATTCAGTTCCATTAATTTTGAAAACGTGGGATAATAATGTATCCACTACAACAATAAAGATATAGAATACTCTCATCACCTAGTAAAGTTTCTTCAGATCCCATTGTGGCCAATTTTCTAATTCCATTCTCAACCTCTATTAACCATTGACTGATGTTTCATTTTTGAGAAGAAAGTTATGCAAATGCAACCATACAGAATATAGTCTTTGTGTCTACCTTCTTTCATTTAGCACACTGCCTTTGAGATTCATCCATGTTTTTGCAGGTATCAGTACATTTCTTTTTATTGCTGAAGAGAATCCACTCTATGGCTATACCAGTTTGTTTATCCATCCATCAATTAATGGGCATGTGTATAGTTTCCTGCTCTGGGCAATTATGAATAAAGTTATTTTAAATAGCACATGTATATGAATGAATGTTTTCACATGTTTTGGTGGGATCATTGGGTCAGATGGGATATGTATTTATAACCTTATAAAATTTCTTACAAATAACTGCTAAACTATTCTCCCAGGTGGCTGTACCATTTTGTATTCTCCCTAAATATGTTTAAGAGTTCCAGCTGTTCCTCATCCTAGCCACTTGGAAATATCAGTTTGTTTACTTTTTATCATTCCCATAGAAATAATAGTATCTAACTGTATTTTCATGAGGACTAATCATGCTGGACATCTTTTATGGTCTTATTTTTTACTTGTATTTGTTCTTTGGTAAAGTGTTTGTTTAAATCTTTTGTGCACTTATCATCTATTATTGAGTTATAAGCCATTTGTATATTTTATATGTAAGTCCTTTGGCAGGTGCCAATATTTTCTCCCAGTACTTCTTTTTCTTTTTTTTTTCCTGCCTTGAGGGTGTGTGTACTCACTGAAGAGAGACAAGAGAAAGAGAAGTGGGGAGAAAGAACAAAAAATCACCCACTGGGGGGATGGCCATGCCCCAATCCCTTCTCCATTCTCCCCTTGGGATTTTGGGTGTGCATGTACACATTTGGTGTACACTCTGCCAGTCTTTTCATTTTCTTAAAAGTGTAACAGTGCCATTTAAAGAGAGAAGTATACATTTTTAAAAAGTATTTAAATATATTAATATTTTTTGGTTCACAGTTTGTTTTTAGTATCTAAAAATGTTTTTGCCTAATCCATGCTCAAACAGATTTTCTAGTATGTTTTCATCTAGATGTTTCAAGTTTTTAAGTTTATACTTACATGCATCATCCATTTGATTTGCTTTTTCTGTTTTGTATAATGCAGCAGTCAAGGTTCTGTTTTTTTTTCTTTTAATTACATATGCATATCCAATTTTTCTAGTGCTATTTGTTAAAAAGATTAAACATTCTCCATTGAACTTGCTCTGCACCTGTTAAATATCTACCGATTACATAGATCTGGGTCTATTTCTGGACTCTGTATTCTGTTCCATTTATCAAATGTCTACCGTTCTTTTATTAATTTCACAGTCTTAGTTACTGTAGATTTTACAGTAAACATTGAGATCCAGCAATGTATGTTTTAAACTTTGAACTTTCTTATAGAGTTTATTATTTTTCTATAAAGAAAAAAATAACAAAATCTTTCAGAATTTGTGCTAGGTATATAGATCAATTTGGGAGAACTGACATCTTAACGATATTGAGACTTCAAGTGAATTAACAATAAATATTTCTCAATTTATTTGAGTAAACTTTAATTCTAAATATGGAGTTTTATTAGGTAACAAAAAAATTCAATGAACTTTTGATCAAAATAATATGTTTATCATAATTCATAAAATTATTTTCCAATGACTATGATTTTACTATGCTTTGTATGTAGAATTATCAATATATTATTTAATGGTATATACATATGTAATATGCAGCATTCAGATTCTGATTTGCATTTGTCATTGGCTTTATGTCATAATTGGGGATTACAAATACAAGAAGAATTTTAAAAATTCATGGAAAATGAATTTAAAGTATGAGTTTATTTTGGTGTACAAATTTTGAAATCCATGCTAAGTGTTTCATAATATGTATTTTCAGTGAACTTTATGCAGACTCCTCATATTCTAATATTATTTTATGTTTCTATTATTTTATTGGTATTTTTAAAAATCTACTTTCATAAAAGAGATTGATTTTTACTTTTTTTTTAGGCAGGATGGTTATGATGGTTACATTGATTAGGTAAAATAATTTTTAAAGATTTTCCTGCATTTTCATGTTCTGAGAAATCTGAATCCTACAGTAAATTATTCTCTGAAGTATTTAACAAAATTTGGCATGCACGTAAAATGTGATATGATATCAAGAGCAATACAATGGTTTTATTCAGTAGTCATTGCCTTGGACTATTTTTTAAATATTTTCATTGCATTTTAAGACATTTTTTCATATTTTATCTATCCAGATATTTTTGACAGGCACATATAATTGGTGAGATTAAGTATATATGTGAGACTGATTACACAGAGAAATTCTTAATTTTTGTTGTTACCCACTTACTATCCACTTACTCTCTTACTTAAGCTTTCAGCACTCAACCCAAGTTCCTTGGAAATCTGGCAAAATGAAATAAAACAGGCCACCAATAGTAGAGGCTGCCACAGAGTATGTGAATATGAAGAGATGTACATATTCAGACCAATCAGATTTTCAGCTCGACAAACCACAGAGAGTCATGAAAGGAAATACTCACATCGGAGTTAAAGCGAAGTTGACACACATTACAGGAAATAACTTGTTTCTTCTTCGGGGGAATGGATACCCCAAATGTATGGTTAATGACTGCTTTTTGCACAGGATCCATCTGAAGAGCAAATGATAAAATAGTCAATGTATAATTTTAAATTTTAACTCTCAAACAAGTATAATATATCTCAATAATAATGCAATTGTTTCCAGGAATTAAAAACAAGTGACAAAACCAAAAATGAACAAACAAAGCTGCTTCAAAATCATAATAGACACACAAAAATACCACAGGAAAATTGCCACATCCCAAGAAATCATGTATCTATAAAAAGAACCTAGAAAAACTTTAAATATAAAACAAGAAAACTTAAAATCTAAAGGTCAGGATTAAAATTTAATTATTAATATTATTCCTGTATTAGGTAATAATATTTATGATGATGTCAAATGACCAACGACAATGATTACAGAAATACTTAACTTTCTCAATTTTGGGTTATGGCAAATTATAAATGACAGACTCTCAGCACGAAAAAATGTTGACCCTTATTTTAAAATAACTTACCAACTTTCATGTAGTATAGATTGAAATTCATTGTACTGGAAATGTATATCACAATTGTACACTTTAATGCCTACAGCAGAGTCTTATGCGATCTTTGTTTGAATATTGATCAAGTCAGGTTGTGATGTATAGCCTGTGATGTATAGCCTCTCCCATTTGGACTTACATGTATCATACATATTCAGAGAAATATACAGTGAGAAAATTCTCACAAAGACATTAAAATACTCAGAAAAAGAAGCATTTCTATTGAGCCAGCTAGTGGTGCAGTGGTTAAGACAATTAGGTCTTGTACGGTCAGCTGGATGGTTTGAGTCCTAGAACTGAAGGCTTAGAGGAAGGGATTGGGGCATGGCCATCACCTGTGGGGGAAAGAGGGATGATTTCTCACGTTCCCCCTCTCTCTCTCATGCACACATACACCCTTTAGCAAAACTAACAAAAGAAAACACTTCTCTCTGCAGAGCCTATAAAAACAGAGACAGCAGTGATTCTTTCGTGTGTTCCAGATACTAATCTCTAGCATTCATTTCAGACACCTGTCAGTTCAAGAAACAATGCAGATGATGTACAAGGCAATAGTTATAAACAGATGCAACATGAACGAGGAAAGATCCACTGACACCATCATCTAGGAAATCTCCAGAGGTTAAAGCTTAAGAGTGGATTAGTTGATGATATTTGATAGAGAGAAGAAATAAATACTGTCCCTGATCATGATTATAAATCAACAAAGTGCAAAATTAGCAATTAGAAGGACTTAGGAAGGGTGAATTACAGAGCTACTGAAGAGTAAATTAGCTAACTTTCTGTTAAAATTTAAGAGAAATGACAAGACAATGCAGTCTCACTAAAAAAAATAGTTATAGTAGGGAGTTATCCCATGCTAAGAGGGCAGTTATCTGAAGTAATAAAATCATTGTATATCCTGCCTGTGGTGGTGGCTACAGAAATCTATACATGGATTTAAATTGATAGAACTGTATATGCCTGAAAAAATATCAATTTTATGTACAAGTAATTTTAAAAGTAAAAGAGAATTTTTAAAATATATTATAGTATTATGTTTAACTACTGAACAAAAAAATGTCATTCCTGGAAAATCTAGGAAACAAAACCATTTTGTTCAAGGTCATAATTGGTTGTATTAAGTTTTATTAGTAAGAATAATAATAATAAGTCTTCCAAACAGCAAAGTCTCAAGGAATCAGAGATTAAAATCCCAGTTCACTTTCTTATTTTAGTCATAAGTACATAAACTGAAATCTCATCCATCTATTTTCAAACTATGAAACTGTACTTTATGATAGTTACTAGAGATGGTAAATCAGTTTAGAAATGCTTAAAAATGGAATACTTCAGTGTGATATGCCATTCCACAATCTGCCCTATCCCTGTGTCTGTTAATATTTTTTTCTGATAAAGATGTACAACAATAAGAAATTATAAAATAAAATAGAAGAAAGAAAATTTAAAAATAATAAATAAATAAATATCCTAATAGTAATGTTATAGTAAAAAAGAACAACAACAACAACAAAAAAAAAACTACTTTTTTTCAAAGTTAAAAACAAGAGCATTTTATTGAGATAATTTCTGATCTGTGTCTCTGAGAAATACTTCCCACCTGGTGACATATGGACTACATAGGGTAAAATCTTATAATTATTTCTCAAACACCTGTTTTCTGTATATCACTTTCATTCTTTTTCATCATACTAATGTTTTTTCTTTAAATCATATTAAAACATACTTTCAGAACATATATATTCACGAAATCATAATTTTAATGTACATTCTTTTCCCTTACTCATTTCAAAAATATATTAAAAATTAGCATTAAAATTTAAAATTCTCATTACTTGAAATACATACACATATACTAGTTGTTCCCATACCATAATGTAGAACCACAGGCAAAAGATAGATTTTAAAAATCAAGTTCTAGGCTCAGCTGCTATGGCACAGAGGTAACACAGGTGCCCTCCAAGAGTGGAAGCCATATGGTGACCACGGGTTCCAGATCCTGGAATTGGCCGGATAAAATATGCTGTGCACATACTCCAGGGCCCAGGATCCTGAAGAGTTAAGGGTTGAAGGAGGGGAATTGCAGTATGACAAAATCCCATCAAGGGTGCTTCCATCTCTCCCTCACTCTCTCCTCTCTCTCTCTCTCTGTCTCTCTCTGGTACTCTCTCTCTCTGGTACACACATTCTATCATTTAAAAAAACATCAAGTTCAAAATGTTTAGTAAACTAAAAAAAAAAATTTAGTAAACTAATATGTCTATGTCAATTCCGATACAATCCTTGATATAAACATTCGTTTTACATTTTTTCTTTTCTCTTCATATTTATTTTATACTTGTGAATATGACTGTATTCACAAGTATAAAATTAATAAATTAGTATTAGTCATACCAATGCAATTAGTAATGGTAATACCATATCTGAGAAACAGTATCTATTTACGTTGCTCTTCCCTTACAGATTGCTGGGTATTGTCCCTAGCATTGTTACTTTTCCAGGCTGACTGAATGAAATTATAATCAGTACTTGAGTTAACTTGAAAATTTTGGATTTTTTCCTAGCAATTTTTAAAATTATTTATGTTCCTTTTTAAATTTTTGAAATAGCTTCCTACAAAATTTTTCATATAACTCCCGTCATAACCTTATTCAGCTCAAATCTCACATTTGCACCTGAAATATCCCCTCATTTTCCCAAGGCTGAGAGTGTTCTGCCCTGAAAGGTCAACTGTGGCAGAGTAGTCCAAACAGAAAGGCAGGCAAGTTCCCAGATTCTGCTCTCCAGAAAGTGAACTAAGGAGTTTCCTTTAAGAACCTTTTACTCGAATTGGCTTCTCTAGTTCGTATACATAATCCCCACTTTCTTGGCAACATCAACTAAATGAACACGGTCCTTTCACCCCTTCCTTATTATCTGTCATTACTTCCTGCTGCTTTCCCATCCTTCTCTCTCTCTCTCTCCCATTCCTCCTTTCCAAACATTCTGTCTCCATCTCTTTTTTAAAAATACTTTCAAAAATCTCTATTAAAATATGCATAATTACGAACAAATGCCTTTTTAAATAGTCTTAATAAATTAGTTTCTATCAGTTCACAATGCATAAAAAACTATGGATTGTGGGACCAGCAGATGGCGTAATGGCTATGGCGCTGGACTTCCATGTAGCCAACTGCAGTTGGTGTCCCGGACCCGGTGGCTTAAATTCACGCCGGGTGCATGTGCATGCGTACTTAAGATCCCAAGAGGAGGATAATGGAGGAGAAAGGATTGCGGTGTGGCCATCCTCCCCAGGGGATGATTTCTCGCTTTCTATCTCTCTGTCTCTTTCTGTCTTTCTGGCGAGCACACACACACTGTAGGAAAAACCTCTCCAAAAACAAACAAACAAAAAAGCTATGGATTGAGAAAATTATGATTCATTGGGAAATAATAATAAAGCCTAAGGAAAAAACCTACCACATTGCTCTAGCTACCAATATTGCTTACCTGGCAGAATTTATTGGTCTCAAATTAAGCATCTTCTTTTCTAAAAAAAGTAAGTTAGAAGTACGTGTCTTGTCTGGATCTCTGAGGCTAGCAAATATAGCAACAAAAAAGTTTTTAAAAAATTCCTTTACCTTGCCCATCTTGGAGTAAAAAGCCTGAAATGCTTACTAATTTAAAAAGCAGCAAGAGTTAATGCTAGATATTTTTAAAATAAAAGTCATACAGAAATGAAAAGCAAAACCTATTTGTGCAATTAACTGGTAGGTGATAAAAATAAAAGATGGGATTGCGGCTGTTAGCAGGAATTGAGGAGTTAATTGGAGGCTATGTATGGACAAATTAACTATCATATTATGGTACTTATAAAATGAATTAATGGAGCTAGCCTCATCACACCATCTATTACATATTCGATATCAAAATAAGAACAAACAGGGACCAGCAGTTAGCGTAATGGCTATGTCGCTGGACTCCCATGTAGTGGACCGCGGTTCGCGTCCCAGACCCAGTGGCTTAAAACTCACACCGGGCGTGTATGCATGTGTGCCCAAGATCCCGAGAGGAGAACGTAGGAGAAGGGATTGTGGCATGGCCATCCCCTTTGGCGGGTGATTTCTCACTTTCTGTCTCTGTTTCTGTCTATCTGGCAAGCGGACTCACCCTATAGCAAAAACCTCTCAAAAATAATATATATATACATTATATATATATATATAATGTATATATATATTATTTTTAGGGTGTGTGTGCTCGCCAGAAAGACAGAGAGACAGAAAGTAAGAAATCACCTCCAGGGGGAATAATCACGCCACAATCCCTTCTCCTCCATTCTCCTCTCAGGATCTTGGGCATGCACACACACGCGCCCAATGTGAGTTTAAGCCACCAGGTCTGGGACTTGAACTGTGGTCGACTACATGGGAGTTCAGCGACATAGTCACTACACTAACTGCTGGTCCCTGGACTACAAATTTGTGTGAATTTTTTTAAGGTTATTATCTTTACTGGGTATACCAAAAAGTAATTTACATCTG